AATAATATCAAATATATTAATGTGATTATGAAATTTGAGACAACTATTCAATTTCATATATGAACTGTAAACTCTTAAGACTTATTTACTAGCTAATCTTAAATATTCTTTGATTTGATAACACTCATTAACTAGCTTGTCCTTGATGGTCTCCTTGTAATGGCTGTGGTAGTCATTGGTGACTGCTGATGCAGATACCGAGATTAAAGCATTTACTTTAACTCTCTCAAGTAGGCAGGTATCAGACACTTCTTCTTTGGAAATGTGTGTGTATACCCCTGAGACAAAGAGATGATCCAAAGCCAGGTTACTCTTGGTGTCACTCTTGGTGTCCTTGCTGGACTTTGTATCCAAACCCTTAACTGGAAATAGATTAGTTTCAGAGAAGCACCAACAGAGCAAAATGGACAGACCATTTTCTAACTGTTTTTTGTTTTTGTTCTGTAATGTTTTTTGGCTTGGGGCAATGTTTCTCTGTGAAGTCTTGGTTGTCCTGGAACTCACTGTGTAAGAACAGACTGGTCTTGAACTCACAGAGATCCTCCTGTCTCTGCCTCTCAAGCGCTGGGGTTAAAGGCATGCACCACCACTGCTGGCTTTTTCTTTCTTTTTTTAATTAATTAATTAATTTATTTATTTATTAAAAATTTCTACCTCCTCCCCGTCTCCCTTTTCCCTCCCCCTCCCCACGTCCTCCTCCCTCTGTAGTCCTAAGAGCAGTCAGGGTTCCCTGCCCCGTGGGAAATCCAAGGTCTTCCCCCCCCTCCATCCAGGTCTATAAAGGTAAGCATCTAAACAAACCAGGCTCCCACAAAGTCAGTCCATGCAGTAGAATCGAAACCCAGTGCCATTGTCCTTGGCTTCTCAGTCAGCCTTCATTGACAGCCACATTCAGAGAGTCCAGTTTGATCACATGCTCCATCACTCCCAGTCCAGCTGGCCTAGGTAAGCTCCCATTAGATCTGTCCCAGTGTCTCAGTGGGTGGATGTACCCCTTGTAGTCCTGACTTCCTTGCTCATGTTTTCCCTCCTTCTGCTCCTCATTTGGACCTTGGGAGCTAAGTCCAGTGCTCCAATGTGGGTCTCTGTCTCTATCTCCATTCATCGCCAGATGAAGGTTTTATGGTGATATGCAAGATATTCATCACTGTGGGTATGGGACAAGGCCAGTTCAGGCACCCTCTCCTCTGCTGGCCAAGGAACAATCTGGGGACCTCTCCTTGGACCTGGGAACCCCTCTAGAGTCAAGTCTCTTGCTAACCCTAAAATGATTCCCTTAATTAAGATATTTACTTCCCTGCTCCCATATCCACCCTTCCTCCATCCCACCCATCCCGTTCCCCCAAGCTTTCCCCAATCCTTGTTTCTAGCCATAATTAATGGCTTTCTGTTTCATAGTGAGATGCATTTACCCTCCCCCATACAGAACTTCTTTGAAATTTGTCCTCAAGAAATCCTATATTTTAAGATGTATGCTACTTAGCAATTTTTTTTGGATAGAGTGAAGAGGGGACAGAATGCAATGGGAAATTTTATGAGGAAATGAAATATAATAAGGTTCTATTCTGATAGCAAAGAACCAGGAAGTTAAAAAAATTACAGTCTTCAGCCCTGAAAGGACAACTGTTAGCAAAGAGAAACCAAAACAAAGGAAGCGAGAAGAAAGGGCTAGACTACAGTTAACTTTCATCTCCGTTGTACTCTGGTGTTGAATTTACTCTCTTAACCCAGCACTGTTCATTTCCTGTCTCATGAACTGAATAGAAGATGTCTAAGTGGGCAGTCCTGTAGCCACCCCACCCCACTCCCCGAGAGCCAAGTGTACATTTACCCCTGGAGAGTTGCTGGAGAAGACTTAAAACTAGACCTGCTGGTAAGGGTGTAATATAGAGATTCCTGTAGGAAATTACCAGTATTTGATTGGGATTGTTTTCTCTTTGGATGGGGGTGGGAGAGCGCTGAGGATTGACTCCGGAGCCTCACTTGTGAAGCCTCACTTGTGTTGAGCATTACTGAGATTTTACCCTTAAAAAATACATAGTAAAACATGCATAACATTTACCATTATAATTACCCAAATCTGTTGTTCCATGGCATTAAGTACATTAACAGTATTATACAAGCATCCTCATTTCCCACTTTTTTTTGTCATCTCCATAGAAATCCTGTGTCCTGTAAACCATACCTCCCATCCTCTACCCTACTTTGTCTGTATAAATTGCCTACTTTAAAGATGCCACACAGAAGTGAAACCATATGGGAGCTTCTGTATCTGGTTTATTTTCCTTAGAAGGTTCCAGGTTCATACATGTTCTAGTCTCTATCAAGAGTCTCATTCCTTTTTAAGGCCGGGTAACATTCCATTGTGTATGTCTACCACATTTTATCCATTCATCTGCTCAGTATCTGGGCCGTTTCCACATTTTGGCTATTGTGACTAATGCTGCTATGAACATTGGTAGACAAGCATTTGTTTGAGTCCCTGCTTTCAATGCTTTAGGCTTTGCCTAGGAGTAGAGTTGGCTGGGTCAGATGGTAATGTTTATCTTTTTGAGCACCAGCCTATTACTTTCAGTAGCAGCTGCACCGGTTTACTTTTCCACCAGCAAGGTAGAATTTCAATTTTTCTGCATCTGGCCTTGTTATCTCCTCGCTATTTCTGTAATAGTCTTAGACTATGTAATAGTAATAGACTATGAAGTGTTATCTCCTGTGACTCTGCTTGCATTTCTGTAATGAATGGTGGTGTTAAGTATTTTTTCATGTATTTATTGGTCATTCATCTATTTGATGAATGAGTGTTCAAATCCTTTGCCGACTTTTATTTTTAAATTTTAATATTATTTTTCAAGATAGAATCTGACTACATAGCCCAGGCTGGACTCAAACTGAAGATTCTCCTGTCTAACTCTAGAGTCCTGGGATTACAGGCACCTGCTGCCTTACACCCAGTTTCCTTTGCTTATTTTTACATTTTGTGGATATGCACGAAAGAGGACAACTTGCAGGAGACCATTTACTTCTTCCACCATGTGTGTTCCAGGGATAAAGCTCAGGTTGTCAGGCTTGACAGCAAGCACTTTTCCTCAGGAAGGCATCTCACCATCCCCTTTTGCTTATTTTTATATTGAAGGATTTTATTTGTTTTGCTGTTGAGCTGAAGGATTTTTACATATTGTGAATTTTAATTCCTTATTAAATGATTTAGAGATCGTATAAAACATGCTGTAGGTTGCCTTTTAGTCTTTTGATTATTATTTTAAGTTGACACAGTAATCGTAAATATTTATAGGGTATAATGTGATAGCATTTTTTAGAGGATGGGGAGGTAGGCAGATCTCTAGCTTCAGTCTTACTAAAATCATGTAATAGTTTTATTACATGTATTAGTTTTATACAATAAATATTGCACATATTTAGTTATAAGGACTATAAATAATGTGTTTGGGGCACACTATTAGTTTTTGTGGTGAGAACTTTGTAAACAGTCTTGTGTTGTATAGAGAAATGCTTAAAACTTAACCAGTAACGTGCTCTGTCACCTAAATTCTTTGGAATTCCATTTAAAACGCTCCTTTATTAGAAATGAATGTATTTATAGCATAAACAGTCCTGTATACGATATATTTTATAGGATTTTATGATTTTACATGCGAGCTGCTGCCCACAGGCATTTTTAAGTCAAAATGAAATGTGATAGATTAGTAATTGTATTTATTTCCTCTTCATTTGTGCATTTCAGGAAAACCATAGACTTGTTTCAAACTCCCCATCCCCCCGTTTGAGATTGCCCTGATAAATTTTTTTCTCTGCAGCTTGCACTTCGGAATCTCAATATGCAGAAAATAGTCCCTGACATAGCGGATGGGTTCATAAGTCTCTTCTGGGTTCTCACACTGAATGGTGCTGATATGGCAACGTAAGTCCATTTTGCTACATTTAGCATTACCGAGTAGCTAGCTGCCTGGTACGGTGTACAATTTTTGTCTTTACTGTTTTAACGATTCCTGTGTCCAAAATGTGCCCATTCCCAGTCAGTGTGCCTTTAAGGCTGACGAAATGCTTTCAGGTACTGATGCTGCAGGACCGTGTGAATGAGCTGCTTAAAGTGCCTCCCTCAAAGAGTGGGAAGGAGGCCCCCACTCCGAAGGAGTTCTAGCCACACCTTCCTCCTATCGGCTGGGAGCAGGTGGTCAAACCCTTGGGACCTGGCACCGCCGCTCGTCCCGTCCTCGTGTCACGTGACGCGGGTCAGCTGCGCAGTCGGGACCCTCAAGCAAGGCGACTGCAACCGCCTAGCACTGGGACCCAGGAATCTCGACTTTCCGTCCCCCCCTCCCCCGCACCATCCCGGAAAAGGGGGAGGCCGGTGACGTCATCATCCGGGCACTCGACGGCGGGGCCACGGTTCACAATGGAACAAAAACAAGCAGCTAGCCCTAGTCAAACTCGGCGACGCGGCTGCAGCTCGCTCGTTTAACCCCAGTCTGTCCATATCCCCGCCATTCCCGACAGTCCAGTCCATTTGCCCGCGCCGCACGCCAGAACTCCGACCTCTTTCCCTTCCCCCACCCCAGCCTCGTCTTCGGAGCTTTTTGGGGCAACTGTCAGCTCTCGGCCGGGTCCCTTGGCCGAAGGGGATGGAAGAGTCTCTGGCCCTCGCATGACCCCCTGGAGGGGCCGTCCGGAAGCCACGGTACGGCCGAACAATCCTTCCCCGGCATTGTCTTCCCCTCCCCCACCCGGGTCGTCGAGTTCCAGGCGTCTACCGCCTCGGCCGGCCCCCTAGCGGCGCGTTCTTCTTCCCGCTCCCCCACCAACCTGAGGTGGCCGGAGAGGCGAGGGGGCAGCTGGCCTAGAGGGGGGCTGGGCAGGGGGAGGGGCGGGCCGAGCGCGAGGGGGCGGGGCCTGTGAGGGGCGGGGCCTGACAGGGGCGGAGACGCGGTGAGCCTTGGGCGGCACTGGGACTAGTGGGAGTCTGCGCTGCTGCTGCCGTTGCTGCCGCCGCCGCTGCTGCCACCGCCACTGCCGTCGCCGCCACTAGCCGTGCGGGTTTCTTTTTTTCTTTTTCTGTCTTTTCTTCGTTTTTGATTAGTTGGGTCCGCCATATTGACGAGGCCGTGATACCCAAGGCTGCGGAAGCTAGTCTCCGCCCGTGGCGGAGCCACAAGCTCTCGGTAGCCGGCCCGTTCGGGCCTCTGTCCCAGCGAACCCCCTCCCTGCCTTGCACCGGCTCCTAGGCCTCGCGGGAGCCGGCCGCTGCCGCCTCTCCCTCACGGGAGGCGGCTACCTTTAGCGCCCCGGGACTTGGGGTCGCTGACGGGAGCGAGGAGCGGAGCCGCAGGCAGGCGAGCAGGCCCGGAGTGGGGGGACAGAGGCGGCGTCTAGGGGAAGGTGAAACTGCCGCTGCAGGAGGAGGAGCAGGAGGAGGTGACGCAGGAGAAACGCACCGCCCGGAGCTTGACTGAGCTCAGAGAGCGCCCCAGCCTGAGGGGAGAAGGGGAAGAGGGCCGCCGTCGGCTGAGAGGGAGGAGGAGGCGGCCGTAGCCGCCGCGGCCCTAGGGCGGCCAGGGTGAGGAGCGCAGCGCCGTGTCCGCACGCGTGCAGCCTCTCCTCACGGTCTGTCCGGCCTCGAGCTTTTGCTTTGCGCCTCCCGCCTCCGCGTGTCCTGCTTCTGAAGACTGTGCTGGGTGAGTAGCCCGGGGCTCGCGCGGCCGACAGCTGGCCCGAGGGGTGGGGAGCCGGGCGCGGGCGAGGGGGG